AATCCAAACTTCCTTTGAAATGGACCATTTTTCTCAGCTGGGAAATCCCTTCGTATAACGTTTGGCATTATTATGAAGTTCGGGAACATTTCTTTTTCAACGCGGGGCTGCGAAGACGAGTTTTCCAAGCGGCGTGGTTGTAAAAAAACTCGTCAGAACTGGTGACGAATTTCAACAAACTATGGATCAAAACGAAAGATTTTAAAATTTCTCACCGCGACTTGTTTTGCCAGAACGGGTCAAACTCCTGCAGACCGATGCCGAGGGATGATTTATTACAACAAAACCCAAACTTTCTGGATATTTATGTTTAAATACAAAAGTTTACCTTTAAAATCAAGCAGCCTCAGATTAGACATCAGCAGATGATTTGGATCAAGTGCAAAGAGAAATATTAAAGCATTTTTTTGTTGGGGTGTGTGCCGGAGTCACTGGTGATCGTTCCGATAAACTTCCTTCTTTTTTGTAAGAAATATAAAATCATTTTTTAAAAAGGTAACGTCGATAACATCCTGCAAAAAATATCACAATGCTGAGATGAACAGGTGTCAAAATATTCTCATGCACGGTAACAGGAAGTGATGTCAGTAACAGGAAGTGATGAAAAAGGGGGACAGAGCATCACAACAACAGCTGACAGACAGCAGAGAAGAATCGGACGCTTCTTCAGATTATTTTGAGTTTATTAAAGACACAAAGAGTTTTAATGTTTCAGTAAACAAAGACAGGAAGTTCTCCTTTTTAAAGCGTTCCCCTCTGATGTCACTTCCTGTTTCACTTTGGCTGATCCAAGTTCAAAAGATATGCCAGTTATGTGACAAAATAGGTAAAATTATGTGTATTATGCCAAACTTCTTAAACATTAATGCTTTCTTCAACTTGTATTTATAGATTTCACAGGAGCATTAAAGCAGAGCTGAAAAGGAGGCGCCATAAGGCAAGCAGTTGTACCATTTAATCAGAGCTTTTTTTTTTTAAATTACAGTGGTGAGCTGTTTGGAAATATCCTGATATCAAAAGTGTTTTGTCAAACCAACACAGAGAAACTCTGTTTATTTTTTCACGTTTATTTCTGCGTTGGTTTATTTTGTATCAAGTTTCGATCAAAAGAGTTGAAGAAAACACTCCGTACTTATTTTAAGTGAATTTATTTTTAAAAAGTTGGGAGTTTATCAAACTTTCTGTAACCGTTTACAGTTCAGATTAAATAAAAAATGTGAAATCTGATTATTTGTTATTTTTTGTGACATCATCAGCTGATAAATCTACTTGACAGAACCTGCTGCTTAGTCCCTCCACACTAAGGATGGTTAGTTTTTTATTTATTAAACTCCAGCTTTAATCTGGTCCTCTTGGACAGAACACGTATGACACAGCTACATACATGCCAACTTTTAGTGTTTCAGGGATGAAAATGTTCTTTAAGAAATGGGCACTTACAGAATCCTCTGCCATTGAGACTCTGCAAAGCTCTGCAGAGAAAACAGAACGGGTCAAACATGTTCGACGAACTGAAAATGGAGTCGACAGCAGCAGTCTGCGTGTGATCACCCACCTTCTGCTTGCCGTAGTTTATTGAAAGCTTCTGTCAGCTGTCCCTGACCGATCAGAGCGCAGGCGGTGTTGTAGCACAGCTCGTACGTCGACTCTGGAAGACTGAGATCCTCCTGCGAAGACAAAACAACTGTTTTAGTCAAAGGCGAGCAGAAACGACCCGTCAACCGGCGTGTCGGCGACTTACCGTCTGCTTCTCCCACTGACTCATGGCGGCCACGGCAGCAGACAGGTTGGTCTTCCTCTCTTCCTCATACTCATCCTGAGAGTTCCTGATCAGGTCTGTGTAGACGGACCTGCAGTCCTCGTAGCGCTCCAGTCTGTAGAGCTGGACACAAATCATCAGAACAGGAAGGAGGAAACGGCACTTAAAGTTGTTAATCTCATGAATTATTGATCGAGCCGACGATGAACCCGACCACAAGAACAGAACAGTCGAACCTCGCTCAGACTCTGTTATTCACGGTTGGACCGGATCAACACCGAGTCAGAAACTGGACGATATTAAAGTCATTAAAACCATTTATAGAAAAAAGATGATTATACAAACTCATTTTACACTTTCTTAAAGTGACAGTCTGCCTCCTTCAGCTAGAAAAGGGTTTAATTATTTTAATAATTAAGAAGCATAAGGTCGCTCTGCTCAAATCGACTGATATTCAGTTTATGACTCTGGAATCAGCAAACAGGGATCATTCCTGGGTCCCTCCTTCCAGGTGGTGGCCTCCTGTCTCTTTATCAGAACTGGCCCAGCTGAACCCCAGGAGCCGAGGCTCAATCAATCAAATTTTTAACTCTCGTTACCTTTTTTTTTTTTTTTTTACTGCATCATGTTTTTAGCTGTAGTGGCCTTGAGTGTCCTGAAAGGTGCTTTTAAATAAAATATATTATTATTATTGTTATGGAGACATTTTATTTGTTATATGCGCCTCTTGTTTACAAACCGTCTGCACCCAATTAACGATGTGTAGCCTCATTTTCAAGTCCTTCAAAGCACTAACCTGCATCTTATTTCTTTAATTACACATAAAGCAGCACGTATCACGTGAACCATACTTTTGGACAGAAATGTGTGATTTGCTGTTTTTATTTCAACACGTAAAGAGGCAGGGAGGCTCAAACCACCACCTTCAGTCATAGCCACAACCAAACCAGAAAAACCAAACAGACCCACTTTTTGTTCTTGTGTAAACAAAAATTAAATGTTTGAATTGATAAATCACAATATAAGAATTATGTGGCATCATATCAAACGCATACTTGGCTTAAGCTAAGGTGAAGACAAACCTTTCAGCACTGTTTGTAATCTGTAACTGCATCAAACTTTAAACTAAATTTTAAAACTGTACAATCTCCAGAACAACAAGCAGCATCATGATTGTCCACCAGCCTCACCACTTGGCCGTAAAGTTCCTTCAGCTTGTCCGTCTGCTCAGGAGCACTTTCAATGGTCTTCAGGGAACTTTCCACTCTGTTCAGCCGGTACTCGCAGTACGCCTTCTCAAACACAACCTCGCTGAGGAGGAAAAACAAAACAGCCATATGTCAACCACAGGTTCATTAGTAAGTATCCTACCTGCAGTAGACAGCAGTCAGAGTGATCTCAGGTTGGAGAATCAGGGATAACATTAGTTGATTTAAGCCTACACAGAACAGAGCCTTCCTAAAAGTTCATCTAAAAACAACTCAAACATAAAAAAAACTATGATTCAAGCAAATATATTATGGATATTTAAACTACCGTACATAAAATTTATCAGGTTGCTAAAACTAGTCAATTTTAAAATGATTCCTTCTGAATAGAACACGTTGAAGGAACCAGAGGCCATATTCCAACATGGACAGTTTTTAAATAACAGACGTCTTTAAAAAAGACCATCCCATAATACCAAATACTCTGAATACCAAAGTGACACGGTGTAAAAACTTACAGTAAAACATTCACTTAAATCACAATGAAATGTTTGATGTTTCAGTTGTTTTGGGACTTATAAAGGAGGTCACGTTGTAATAACTTCAGTTATTATTTACCAACATATCGTTTATTAATCAGGGTTCAGCCAAGAACAGCTATAAGATGTGAAAATACTGAAGGGCCCTGCATACTCCATCCAAAGTGGCGAAATCGGTTCTCATTGTCGTTTTCTTCTCAAATCAGCTCCGCCCCTTCTCAAGACAAGGTCCGACCCGAACCTTTTCTCACAGGCGTACGCGCCAAAGATTGTGTGATTGATCAGAAGTTTGTGAGCATGTTCATCAATACGGAAATGGTCTCAGACAATAATCTGCACGACCCTTCAAACACACTAAAATAGTCAAATGGACAAAAACTCCTGGATGGAGATCGTTCACACATCGTGTACGATCAGTCTGACGAAAAGTGTAGCGCTTTCTTCGTGATTGATTTGTAGCCAAACGGTGGATGCAGGGACAGAGTGGAGACTCTGGCGAGAAGAAACCCATGCTGTGACGTATACTCCAGGGGGAGGGGTTTCCCACAAGGTCTATGCCTTGAGTCTCATGGACGACGAAAGTTGTGCCCGAAAACAAACGTCCCACAACCATGTGACCACAAGTTGACAGTTTATCTTCGGATGGAATACGCTGGGACCTTTAATGTTCTGTATGTACTGTAAAGCACCTTTTCATGCAACCAGGCTGAGGCTACCCAAAGTACTTCACAACAATCATTGCCCTCATTTACCCATCGGACAGCACTCTACTACATATCTGCAGAGAAGAGTTTAACCAGTGCTTTAAATCCCATTCATACACCAATGGACACATTGAGGGAATGAGGTGTTCAGTGTCTTGCCCAGGGACACTACGACACGTGACTGCTGTTGGAATCAAACATCCGCCCTTCACTGCAACATCTCTCTACTACAGCAGCTACGGCAAATGGACTTTGACAAACAGCACAGAGCAGCAACTACTCCGGATTGTCCTTAAGTGACTAAAAATTGATTTTGACATTTAGAAAGACAATTCAGAATGGTCCATGGATCACATGAAAACAGATTGCAACCCGTCCCACTCCATCCTTAAGGTCCGGTTTACTTCACAAAGCTTTAAAGGTGGACTTATACGTTCAAAAGTCGTGAGACGGAGATCTTGTTTCGTAGTTTCAGACATCTTTGTCTGATGAAGCATTCATAATCAAGAGGATGCAGGGATAGATCATCACAATTCCTCCCTGTCCTCCAAGTGCAGCACGTCACGTGCATATGTTGTAATGCCCCTCAGCATGCAAAAAAAAGGAAGCCACAGCTGGCATTGCACTCGTTAGAGACTTTATTAGCAAAAATACCAAAAAACAGGAGCTGCTGTCACAGCCGTAACTCATGCTGGACACAAAACCAAGCTGAACTCTTTCTGACCAATCACAAAACGTACATCACATAGTCTGCGAGACACAAGCTCTGACTGGGGGCAATGCACAAGACAGGGCGTCAGCGGGCAGTAACAGAAGGAAACTCTGCAATTTTTATCTCGCAGCAGCATCAGTGAGAATAAAAATATAAATCCATCTTAAGACAATGGATCTTGCCAATGTAATTTGAGACAGACTTTTTCTAAAGGACTGTTCATACTCAAAGAGAAACCATGAGGGAGAACTCCTGAAGAATCAGTGTCAGTGTCATTGTATTATGAAATTCTTTATCAAAAGGGTTCGTGAACGATCGGCAAGATATTCAGACAAGAGGGAAAAATAAAACACAGAGACTGTTACTGCTAGGAATAATAAGTGTCATTTATTAACCTGCCACAGAAAACAGCCAAGCAAAAGTCATGTACACTCGTACACTCTTAACACACAAATTGATATGAGAGAACTTCTCACCGTGACACTGGCCGGGAAGTCGTTTTCGACCCAGGTAAAGAAGAATCACATCAAAATTGCGCATGGCACCGCGCGCGCTGGTCCACACAAGACTTCCCGGCCAGTGTCACGGTGAGAAGTTCTTTCATATCATTTTGTGTGTTAAGAGTGTACGAGTGTACATGACTTTTGCTTGGCTGTTTTCTGTGGCAGGTTAATAAATGACACTTATTATTCCTAGCAGTAACAGTCTCTGTGTTTTATTTTTCCCTCTTGTCTGAATATCTTGCCGATCGTTCACGAACCTTTTTGATAAAGAATTTCATAATACAGTCATAATCAACACAGACAGCATGTTTGTTCAGAGTGGACGTTGATTTAGTTGACAATGGAAGAATTGGAGGAGGACGATCTGGTGGAGTAGGAAAAAATCAAATCATTTTCATCACCCACCCACACCAGTGAAAGACGAGTTCAGTACTTCTGGACTATAAACCAGCCTTTAGACAAATGCCTTCAAAAAGGTCAGCTCAAGTCCCTCATCAAAACTTTTTCTTCTACAAACTGAAATCACAACACAACTGCTAATAATCTGAAATATTTCTGTGTGCAACACCAGTTTGCTCCTGGTATGAAATGACCTGACAGCTCTCGTCAACAAATCACTCCAAAGACACGTTTGAACTGTTCTGGGTTGAACTGTGATTTTCTTTATAAAGGTCCACCGCGCAAGAGGAGTTTTAGTTGTTTCCCCTGTGTATTGAAGTTTATATATCGTAATGACTACGCTGATTCAGTTACTTTAGTCTTTGACCTTTTGAAGCATTGTACCATAAAAGTAACATTCACAAAGTTTTTGCTGTGTCCTCTGTAATGATCACAGGTGAGTGAAGGCTATTTACCTGCCAAGCAATTTAGAGTAGGTGTTCATGACATTCAACGCCTCTTTGAAGCTCCCATTCTGAATAAGGCAAACTATTTTACAGTGAAGGGCCGTCACATCGTCCCTGTTATCTTGCAGAACTGCAACAGAAAGAAAAAAGAAAGATATTAGACTCAATAACTCCAAGTAAAACTTAAATGCTAACCACACATGCTAATTAGCAGGACAATAATAATAAACTGACGCCAGTCGCAGCAGAGCCACCAGTCCGGCTATGGACACGTCAGTGAATCACAGAACGACTTTATGAATCGAATATAACTCAATAATCACCTTAAAACATACACAATACAGCTGGCCCACTAACTTTATTTATGCAAACATGGCGCTTGTCCACACGCTTTAAAACAGTTGGTAGTGCAAGCTCAAATCGCTGTTTTTACAGTTGCTAACGGAGGTTAGCTTAGCCTCACGCTAACAGCTGGCTGTAGCTGTTAGCTCGCCGGCTCTTCGCCGCCATGTCAGTGCCCATATAATCCTGTTTTAAGCGCTTCAACATAGCGGCTCCGACACTTACTTTTACCGAGAGCTTTCAGAGCCCGTGTGTAGTCTCCATTCTGTCCGCAGCGGTTCACTTCAGTCCACAGCGAAGCCACGGAGGCTCCTCCGCTCGCCATGTTAGCTGAAATGAACCATAAGGTCGGCGGAAGTTGATGACGTTAACTTCCGGGTTAAAAACTACAAACCGTTATAAATAATTTTGCAATAAAAATACAGCACTTGTATCTAAGAATTAACGGCCCAGTGTAGTTTTAAAATTGTATCCACCTATTTTTGTATTTTTCTTTCATTTAAAACTGACGCATTACGAAAACGCGTTCACAGGCAACATTCAAAATCGGAGCAGTTCTGTGCTGAACGTAAAACCGCCAACATCAGTATCAGTGCACGAAGCTTGAATGGAAAAAAAAAACAGGAAAAAATTAAAATCGAAATAAAAGTTTAGAAAATGAGACATTAAGGAAATTTTAAGCTCTTGTGGGCTGATTTTTTTTTCTGTACTCCAAATAAATAAATAAAAAAGTAATTTTGCGTGATAACTCGTAATTCCAATTTCTTGTAGTTGTACTTTAACGCAGCATGTCGGAAATCATCGGAGGAGGCGGAACTGTTGTCGTCCATCAGGGTAGTGTGTTGGGCTTTTGTCCAGGAGAATGGCCGGGATTAAAGGTATAATTTCTGTTAATTTGTGTTTTGATTTCGGCTCAGATTATGTAACCGGATTAAAATGCGTACGAGACACGATTGTCAATAAAAAATAAAAAAAAACACCAAGCTAACGGGTTAGCCACACGGCTCGTTAATGTAGAAGCTAGCTCAACAACCCGCATTGTTTTCACAGAGATACAACACATTCAGGTTTGCTCATTTCTCTACCAGTTGAGGCGCAGATGCGGTGTAATAACTGAGTTATTACCGTGAAACGTAACGTTAGCTTCCTCCTGAACGGAGCAGCTCCTGATGCTAACTGATCCGCTCGGATTAACGGTGGTTAACCAGCAGCTACGTGTTTGTTGGACGTGAAGGCAGCGGGTCCATCACATGAGAAGGCTCGGCTGTCAGGAGGCTGTTGGTGACGACCTGACCTCCTCTTTCCTCCTCTCTCTGTTTGGTTTCCAGCTCTCATTAGCCTCTCCTTCGGAGGAGCCATCGGCCTCATGTTCCTCATGCTCGGATGTGCCCTACCTGTGTATGAGTGAGTACAAGCTCCACACACCTGTCAGAGGGAGCAGGAAGCACCTGTCCAGCTACAAAGATTTTATAAAACACTAATATTTGAAATCTGGGTTGCCAGGTTTGTTTGTGAAACCCTGGCTAATGTGTTGGAAACATGTGGGATTACTGTGGATTATTGTAGAAAACAGATAGGAAGAGTCCTGGATTTAGTATTTTCCAGGTCTGGATAAGTATGGAAAACCATGACCTTTGTCATTTCTAGAAAGTAAAAGGCTAACTGTATAAAAGCTGCTCATATGATTGGAGTTTACTAAAAGATAAAATATAGCTTACTAGTGGAACTTTTGGTTCATCCGTATGTCCATATCTGTCCATGTCCAGCAGTCGCTGTGAGAGGCGGGGGACAACCTGGACATGTCTCCAGTCCATCACAAGGAGACATAGAGACAAATAATTCACACTACTCACAGCTAAGGATCTTACAGTGTCCAGTGAACCTAACATACGTGTTTTTGGTCTGTGGGAAGAAACCGGAGTACTCGGAGAAAACCCATCCATGCACGGGGAGAACATGCAAACTCCACCCAGAAAGGCCTCTAGGCGAACATGTGACCTTCTCTCTGAGAAGCAACCACTTCATCTCTGTGCTGCCCACTTTTTGATTATATAGAGCAGTGGCATCCACTCCTGGTCCTGGAGGGCCACTTTCCTGCATGTTGTAGATGTTTCTCTGCTCCGACACTCCTGGTTTGAATCAGTGGGTGATTAACAGGCCTCTGCAGAACATGAAGACGTGATTTAACCATCTGATAAAGTATCTGTACAGAACCAGGCCGTAGTCCGTCTCTGATTCGACGTGAGACCGGGGGTCTCACGTCGAATCAGGTGTGTTGGAGCAGGGAAACAACCAAAACTGATCCTCGAATCACTGAAGCTGAACGAGTTTGTTAAAAAATAACCAGTTCTTTTAGCTCTCCAGTAAAAAGATCAACTGGCAAACTATGAAACCAAACATAAAAATGTTTTTCCGAACTGTTCCCACTGGTCGAAGGAGCTTCCTCCAGTAAATTTCCAGTTTTACTGATGTTGTTCTGAAATGCAGGTGTGCACTCAAAGTAAACAAACACTTGGCTGAACCCATCAGAAGTCAGGTGGTAGACTGCATTAGGCTGATCGTAGCCTTTTTTCTGTTGGAGTGGGAGTCGTCTCTTCGCTGCACGTCACAGGAAGTGTTTACCTCTCTTTCCTTTGTCACATTTCTTCCTCGCTCTGCAGCAAATACTGGCCTTTGTTCCTCCTCTTCTTCTACATCCTGTCCCCCATCCCGTACTGCGTCTCCCGGAGGGTGGTGGACGACACAGACTCCTCCAGCAACGCCTGCAAAGAGCTGGCCATCTTCCTCACGACGGGCATCGTCATCTCAGCCTTCGGCCTGCCCATCATCTTCGCCAGAGCCCAAGTTGTAAGTGACCGAAGCTGAGGTTGACTGAGGTGTTTATTTTAATTTACTGAGCGTGAAACCAGTTTTTACTGGTAAATATTTACATAGATGTGAAACTGCCACAGCCAACTGTTACTAAAACACATTAAAATGACTCCGAGTGGGTTTAACAGATATGGAGCCACATTTTGGTCTGGTAGTAGCCGAGACTGATCCCAAACACTAATTTTGAGTGTCGTCTATTTGCTGTCAGTCTGTTAGCAAAATATCTCATTAACCACCGGATGGATTTTAATGAAACTTCAAGGGGAAAATAATTGATGTGCTTTTACAATTAGCTTGTTAATACTTTGCAAGACGTTAAGAAATCTGTTCTTGCTCACGCTGTTGTGAGACGTTCTTTCCGGCACGGGCATTTTATACTCCACGAGAAACTGCGGCGCAGTCCTAGGAAGCCCCTCCCACCGGAGTTTTAAATGTTTTGCAGAAACCTTGTAAAGATGGTTGTATTTTCCAACAGCCTCCAGCTGCTCCTCAGCGGAGCGTCTCCGTCTTCTACCGCTTATTTTTAGTCGAGTCGTGGAGGCAACAGGTGCAAGAGAGAAAATCAGACCTCCCTCTCCCTACTGACCCTCTCCAGCTCCTCCTGGAGGATACCAGGGTGTTCCCAGGCCAGGGAAGATACACAATCCCTCCAGTGAGTTCTGGGTCTGCCCTGGAGTCTCCACTCACTGTCACATTCCTGGAAAACCTCCACAGGGGTCCAGGAGACAACCTAATCAGATGCCTGAACCACCTGAACTGACTTCTTTTGATGTGAAGGAGCAGCAGCTCAGCTCCAAGCTCCCCTGGATGATGGAGCTCCTCACCCTCTCTCTAAGGCTGAGACCGGCCACCCTACAAAGGGAGCTTAACTCAGCCACTTGCATCCAGGATCTGGTCCTTTCAGTCCTGATCCAAACCTCATGACCGCAGGTGAGGGATGGAGCGTAGACAGACCAGTAAATCCAGAGCTTTGTTTTCTTTTTAATTCTTTCTTCACCACGACTGACATTACTGAGAACGAGGTCCCGATCCATCTCCTGCGTCCTGCTCCATCCTACCATCACTCAGGAACAGAACGCCCAGATCCCTGAACTCCAGCTGAGGGACCTCCCCAGAACTAGATGGATCATTCCACTCGTTTGCAGTTGAGAAGCATGGCCCTGGACTTAGAGGAGCTCGTTCTCTTCCCAGCTGATATATCCTCAGCTGCACACCATCTCAGTGCACACTGAAGGTCTTGGCCCGATGACGCCAACAGAACCACATCATCTGCGTAACAAGACTTCCAGATACTCGACCTCCTCCACCTCAGGCAAGATGAGTAGTTGGAGCAAAATGAGTTCATTGTACGTCAGCACACCCTCAAAGTTCTCATCAATCACATGATGCAAACCCTGCGAGAAAAAGAGTTCTGCCAGGACCAGAGCGGGTTCTCTGAGCTCGTTGTGGAATAAAATGACGCCATTTTCTTCACCCAGCTCCATCGCTGAGAGCAGATGTCTTTACTTCTCCTGGAGTACAAATGCAATGAAAAAAAGAAAGTGTCTGTTTATATCAGTCAGTTTTACAGATTTAGTTTTAACATCTGGTGTGGCAGAAGCTGAAAGTCTCTCACGTCACAAAACTGAAGTTTGTGACAAGTTCAAAACTCCGGCGTGAGTTTTGTAGATTTAAGTTCGACAGTTTTGACGTGAACGATTGGAAACATTAAAGCAACAACAGGGTGATAAACCCGACTCGTTGAGTTTGTCCCGATGAATTTAACGTTCGTTAACCTGAACGGTTTATTCGCAGATCGCCTGGGGGGCGTGTGCGCTCGTGCTAACGGGTAACATAGTCATCTTCGGGACCATCCTGGGCTTCTTCCTGGTCTTCGGGTCCAACGACGACTTCAGCTGGCAGCAGTGGTAAACCGTCCGACGGAGGGGAGTTTAGTCCAAACTGTTTTTATTAGCGTTACAAATATTATTCTGGTATGTTTGGTTGTTGTTATTTATATGATGACCACCCACCTGTAGACTCACACCAAAACGTGCAATATTTGATTTGCTTTGATTTTAAATGGCCTGCTTTGTTCTGAACTGACTCAACGAGATGCTGACTTTTATTTGGAATGTGTTCTGTCTTTGTTGTGTTTTATTCCTCTGATTTAAAGAGCGGCGAAATCTGTGACTAAAAGAGTCCAGATGACCGCGACCTGGTCTTCTTTTTTTAACCTTTGGTTAAATTCTGAACAACTCTGGAAGGAGTTTTGTGAGTAAATCAGAAGAGAACCGACAGAAAATCTGCACGATATGAGCTCAAATCGATTTCATGTGAATTTATGGTGTTTGTTGTTTTGGTTTGTTTTTTTGTTTATTGCACGTTAAAGAGTTCAAATCGCCTGATGTAGTGCAGGTGTGTTCACGTGGCGTGACCAACATGAAGCTGTGAAACGAGCGTTTGTAAAAACGTCCGCTCTCCAAAAAACTTTCAGACCGGGCGGGGAATGTTCTTTAAGTCTTCGCATGAAACAAAGAGACAAAGCTTTTCGTCGTGAATTAAACCGACCCGATCGTTTCCTGTCCGCCGAGGACGCGGGACGTTTATCCACCGAGTCGTTCGGCGACTGACGACTCGAACGGCGCCGAGTGTTCGAGGCAGATCTGCTGTTTGGGCTCAAGAAAACACGAGAAAGACGCCGTCGGCTGGCGCAGGATGACCTCCAGGACAGCAGCCTCATTAGAACCTCAGCTGCTCCGATAAGACTCTGGTTCCTCAGAACCGAAGCCCGTTCAGCGCTGAGTCAGTCGACTCGTTCTTTAGATCCGGACCTGCTGCACGTCCTGCTCCGTTTAATCCAGCCAGCACGGAGAAGATAAAAACAAAATGTTTGCTTTAATCTTAGAGCTCGCTCCGTGTCTGTGCCGCAGGTTCTGGATGAGCAGAGCAGAACCTTCCGTCAGTCGTGTGGCACCGCCGCTGCAGGCTGAGGAATTTTAGGTCATTTTAAAATTTGAATATGATCCTAACGTCAACTAGAACAGTTTTATTCTTTATGTCTGGACCTCAGAAGGTTCTGGTTCTGTGGTTCTGCACGGCAGATTTCCAGTCAAAGTATTCACACTTCCTGCCCCACAGTTTTTTAATTTTTTTTAATCATTTTTTATATTGATTTAAAGGTACTCATTGAAAACTATAAACTAAAACACAGAAACGTGTCAGCTTGAACTGAATCAAACGGTTCGTTTTGACTCGTTTGTTTTCCTGATATCAGTTCAGAAACGCGGGTACGCGCTCAACGTAAACAAAGCCCTTTCGTCAGTGATTTATCCGACAGGTCTGAGCCGATGTACCGATACACCAACGTATCGGACGTCTGGGCTCAAATCATGAACCTCGCAGCGTCGTCCACCTGTTTTCAGTCGCTTCGGCTGTTTTCGTAGGTAAACAATCACCTGGCAGTCGTTCACAAATTCTGCGCACAGATTTTTACTTTAAAGGACACGTCAACCATCGTTATGTTGAGAGAAAAAAAAAAGTGCAGGTTTTGTTTTTTACTTCGGTCTTTACGGCCAACAATGAGCACCTTTAAACCACGCAGGCTTCAAATGATTCATCCCATCGTCGTGACCGGCATGTGGAAACAGCTCGGTAATCTGGAATAATTTTAACTAATCCGTTTGTTTTATTTGTTGTGTTTAATCCAAACACAACCGTTTTATGTCTTCAGACAAAAGGTCGTGCTTTAACTACAAGTACTTTCAACCACAGTAACTTCACACTTCCACGGCATTAAAGACGGATTAAGCTTCTCCGCCTTCTCTGATGTTCAGAACTGAAGCCAGTGAGTGTCTTTTGGAAGCGGCCATGTTGTATTTTTGGAGCCAGTGTCTTTGGGGCCGTACCCTCAGTACGTCACTACGTTACGCCGTCAATCGCAGACTAATACGACAATTTTTAAATTAATTTAAGCCAAACATGAGACAGAAATGTATGCTTGAACACGCAGCAAAAAAAATCTAAAAGCTTCATGAATCAAAGAACAAAACGAGGTCTGTTTTTGTTTTTTAGTCGAGAAAATGTCCCGTTTGTTAACACGGAGGGGCGGAGCTTAAATATTGTACTGCAGGTGAGGCTTCTGCTTCGGCCTTCCGGTCCTGTCTCTAGCTGTAATACATCTCCAGGTTCTGATCCGAACACCTCGCTATTGTTCAAAAAATGAAGCTTGAGACGAACTGTTCACTCGTTGAAGGCAACAGCGCTGTAGTTAAAGGCTAAATGTTCAGCTTATAATTTATAATATAAAAGAAACATTTATCTGCCAGGGTCAAGCTAGCAAAAACTAAATATAAACTAAAATATCAAGGTACAAAAGTAGAAAAAAAAACTTTTCCCTTAGAGTTTAATAAAGAAGTTGACTTCTGGGTTTCACCCACAAACTGTGTCTGTTCTGACCAAAACCTGGAAGCTGAAGCTGGAACGAGACAGATTTTAAGTCCCGCCCCCTTCACGTAAACAAAAATAACATTGTAAAATAAAATACAATTCTAAAAAAAATACCCCACCTCAAATCATTTTTAAGGTGGTTCTTAACAGGTTTGCTTGTAATTAATTATTTCATGGTTGGATGGTGGGGTCATGTGACACCAAGATTTAGTTCTGGTGGGGAGTAGGCGGAGCTTAAAGCTTCAGAATCTGGTCCCAAAACATGGACATATAACAGACCAACTGTCTTCGCCTCCTCTGTTTGAAGCCAGCAGGAACTGATTTTGGAACCAGCTGTTGGGGGTTAAGCCCCGCCCACTTGCCCTCACATCACATGACCTTTCTTTAAGGCATGAAATAACTCATTACAGCTTAATGTGCTGGACACACGGCAGCAACCGACCGAAGCAACGCCCTCATTACTGAGGACGAAGCCCCGATCCGTCGCTCCATCTCCCGCTCCATCCCACGGTCACTCAGAAACAACATGGCCGCCCCCACAAACCGGGCTTCAGTTCCGTACGACGAGAGAAGCAGCAGGGCTGTCAAAAACAGTTTGGTTGAAATCATCTTCGTTTAACGTCTTCATGTTTCACAGCAAAGATCCTGATTGTATAAAAACACCACGGTGACGGATCCGTTCAGTTCCTGCTAAAAGCTGCTGCTGATGCGATTTGTAAATAAAAACAATGTTGTTGTTTTTAATTTTCTGTGTTTGAGCCGGAGTCGGTCTGAGTGTGGATCAGCAGGGTAACCTCAGCGTGTTTCTGTGACGTCGTTACGTTAAACGTTCTCAGATTTCCTGTTAAACGAGAGTCTGGTGTGGAGCCGTCAGGTTGTCCGTTTCTCTCGACGCCGAGAGGATTTTGTTTGTATTTATTTATTTTGTGGGACACGTTGTGTCGGTTTTCAACGCCATTTTCTATAAACATCCTTTGTATTGAAGGAGCAGAGGGCAGCATGGTGGTTTCTTTATTGTTTCTCCTTTTTTTTTTTAAATAAATGCCATTTTTGAACATCCTCTTTTTGAACGACTGATCATTTGTTTCAACTTGACAATATTTCATCAAATATTTTACAGAAATTAACATTTACACAAAGTACTTTGTACTTTAGGGTTGGAATCTCATCAAACATTAGTGATGAACAAAACAATGAGAATAAGGAAGATTTCTACTGGAGTGTTTATTCTAATTATCGTAAATTTTGCTGTATTTTTTGCATAAATTAGCATGCCTGCGACTTATACAGCGAAATGATGTATTTATATTTTTTTACCATATTTATTTCCCAATTTTTGGCTGAGATCTGACGATTTCATTCATTCTGACATGGAAAATATTGAGCACTATCATTTTCAGCCACTAGAGGGCCCTCGACTATTATGGCAAGCCAAGTGTCTCATTAATAGGTGAAAGTGGCTATTAATGAGACACTTTGCTTGCCATACAATGCCACCTTTGTCTCGCCCCGGAACTCCTGGAGCAAACGTCAAATCAGCTTCATTTCGCCGCTGCTGTTTGTTGTTGTGAAAACCATTTTCTACTAATAATACTTCCTTCAGAACTCCATCTTCTACTGATGTTCCCTGGTCGAGTCGTGGAGAGAAACTCAGACCTCCTTCTCCTCAGAGACACTCCCCAGCTCCTCCTGATATAAAATATCTCCAGAGAGTTCTGGGTCTGCCCTGGGGTCTCTTCTATGGGACATGTTCGGAAAACCTGAAAGGGACCTAATAAGATGAACCACCTTAGCTGAGTCAGTGCAGAGGAGAAGCAGCGCTACTCCCCTCTCCACCCGGATGATGGAGCTCCTCATTCCATCTCTTTAAATGTCTTTCACAACACGCCTCCAGAACTGAAACGTGTTCTGGCCACCTCGGTCCATACAGGAGGCACACAGAGGTGGCGAGGGTGTTGAAGAATGGGGTAGTAACAGAGGCAAAATGGCCTCAGCTCAATATTGTGATGACAGTGTGTGACTGTCCGCACTACCACGAGATTAAACGGGAACAAGCAGAGTTATCACGGAAACTACTTTGTAGTTACTTAAAAAAAAAATAATTAATCCCAAAGAGGATCACTAAAGAGTTAATTTATCATGTTTAATGATCGGCATGAGACAGATGTCTCTCACACATTTAATGTGTTTTGCTCCATGTCAACACAGCTGAGTTCTGCTCCACGCCTCATTTGGTTCCACACGGTCCGCTTCATTTCTGAAAACTCACATCCATGTGGGACGTGGACGGCTTCATCTGTGATTTATGAACAACCAGAGGGAGGATAAAGACAGACTGGTCTGTGTGACTATTTTGTAGAACTTTTTATGAACGTTTGAGTCGGGCCACCAGGATCCAGAATCTCGGAGTGTTGGAAAGTACAGACCAGTGAATCCAGAGCTTTGCGTTTCAACTCGACTGTCTTCACCACAACCAACTGAAGCAACATCCTCATTACTGAGGCCCCGATCGCTTGATCCATCTGCCACTCCATCACTCAGGAACAGGACACCCAGGGACCGCCCCAGAACTAGAGGGAGCTTACTCATTTCTGGTTGAAAACCATGACCCTGGACTTAGAGGAGCTGGCTCTCCTCCCAGCTGATACACCCTCAGCTGAAAACCATCTTAGTGCACGCTGAAGGTCTTGGCCCGATGACACCAACAGAACCACATCATCTGCATAAAGCGAAGGCGAGACCTTGATGTTCCCAAACCAGACCCCCTCCTTTCCACGACGGCCTTGAGATCCTGTCCATGAAACCACAAACAGTGGTTTATGGTGTAAGTTACTAAAACATAAAGAGTGCCTGTGTGGCTTTTAAAAAATAAATACACTTAAAGTTTATAAAGCTAAAAAATAAACCTTCCTGCAGACTTGTGTCCCTCTGCTGGTAGAAGGTGGAGCTGCAGGCTCTTCAAGATCCCATCTGGCCTTAGCTGACACAACA